AGATACTTAGCAGTTCCAGGTATGCTAAAGGCACTTCAGTGCACATCTTCAAAGGATAATGAAAAAGTATTATGGAAATGACTGGCTGATTTACAGATAAATGCATATCGAAATGAATAGATCTTAAAATTACTTTCTCACAGTAAAAAAAAAAAAAAAAAAAAGCCTAATCCCATTGCTAAAGTATATCCAGAAAGAGAAAACAAAATTGAATGGATATGGCGACAACCAAAAAAGGTTAGATTTAAAAAGAAAAATTGTAACTTTTCTTTTAAATTAATGTCACTTGAAATTTTGAATTGCATAAAACAAACCCACTTAACTGAAAAATATTTGCACTTATTCAAGTGCTTAAAACAGTTTTTTTTTTTTAAAGATCTTTCAGAATAGCAGATTCTAATGAGGTTTTTTAAAATAGCAATTTAAACTCATTGAAGAAAAATATAGATTCACTAGTGTAGCTAGCCAGAATATTTTTCTCAAATACCATACTGTTTGTTTTTTTTTCTGGTTGCCTCTGTGCTCCGATGATGGAAATCTCATGTTGTTGATATATTTATTGAAATATGTAGACCTATTTCTCTTACACTCAACATATGGATTGGCAGTTTAAAATAATTCCTTTCTATTAAGAGAATGTGTGAATAAAACACATTTAAATGGCCTATTAAACCAAAAAGATGATAATGTTCTACCCTCAGAGAAAACTTAATTCTTGGAGCAATTACATATCACATATACCACACAATGTCCCATAAGAACATTTTGGATTAGGTCTACCAACTTATTGTGCAAATAATTCTAGGTTTTCATTTGAGGCAAAGATGCTGATTCATCATTAGGCAAATGCTAATAAAGCATTTATTTTTATAACATGTATCTTTCCAATGGGGAAACCTACTGTATGTTACATATTAATTTAAGTTAAAATGTTCTGAATTTTTAAGTTTGATATACAACTGTGGTTGTCAAACCCAACACCTGCTCTTTTTTTTCTTTTCGGTGAAATTATATAGGCTTTTTGAGGAGGAAATTGTGTGACATGTGACATCTGTTCTTTTTTACTATTTTACATCTAGTCATATTCAACAATGGTGCATTTATTTTTAATGTTCTTATAGCTATCTTCTAATTTATCTACGCATGCACACCATTGTTGGGTTGGGTGGGCCACAGTCACAAGGATGATGCAATTTGTCTTTTCAAACTCTTTCATTAACCAGTGAAGGGGTAGACTACACACTTTGTTCAGTTATTAAATTGGCAATTCTATCACTTTTTATAACCAAACAGTTCTTCTTTCTCTGCAGCGCTCAGTGTGAAGAACATGGGACTTGATACTAGAAGGCCCAACAGAGAAACATACTTCGGCCATTTTTATTAGCAGTGGAACCTTCGACAAGTCACTTAACCAAGTTTTCTCATTTTTAAAAATAAGTTGTCATGGGGATTCAATTAGCAAAAACAAATACATAAAAAATTCTAAAACAGTGCCTACCATGTGTCAGGCACAGATATTAGCTGTATCTGCATCTTTTGTTGAGAGATACAATCATTATGCTCTCTCTCTCTCGCTCTTTTAATGGTGCCATTAATACCAAAGCTTTAGGTATCTCTTGTTATTGTGACTCTTCAATTTTGTTTTAAATATATTGACAAGTAATGTTTCCTCAGGTCCCAGGATTAATGTACATTTAGAAGTTCTTAAATTTCAGTGTTCATAGTGATCATCTTGGAAATCTTGCTGAAGATGATTTCTAGGCCTACTCCCTCCAAATTCACATTTTGAGAAGCATCAATTTAGATTGCCAATTAATATAGAGTTAAAATATACTCTCATAAAAGCATTTAACTCAATGCCTTTCTTCCTGACTTCTGGTGTTATGTAGAAACTCTCTGTACTCTCCCTTCCCCCCACTTCCAAACACCCAGTTCTTTGTCTTGGTTCCCTGGCACAGATTTCTTGGTCACGTATAGTCAAAGAATGAGCTAGTCCTTACTTAAAGCAGTGATTTCAGTCCATACAGCGCTTGGTAGAATGGCTTGTTACATAAGATGCACTGGCAAAGATTATTTATAACATTAGCACCTCAGGGAAAGATCTGGATTTATTACATGAGAAAGCAGAGAAGCTTAAATTTCAGCAGCGCTTTTGTCACTAGTTAAATATGTGACTATATCCAAGTTTCATAATCACTTTGGCTTTATTTACTGTATCTGATGGGGGTGATGATGCTTTCCCAGGCTGAAGGTAACATCTCAGGGCCTAGACCAGAATGTCTCTTAGTCTTCCTTTTGATTCCAGAATCTATGCTTTTCCACAAAGGGAAGTATCCCATGTATACCCTTCCTGAACCCAAGTTCCAGTGGTGCATATTTGCTATATTTTCTTGGCAGAATAACAATTTATGATTTACGACACAATTCTATATATGAAGGATTGTGAGAATTACCAGGCACCCAGATATCTCAGCAACAATTGAAACCTACTACCAATTCACCAAAACACTTATTAACTTGCATAGGACTTTATTTACTTGGACATATTGGAAAAAAAAAATAAAATTATATAAATTTGGAGGAACCCTGAGGTAATCAGACCATAGCAGTGATATTCCTAGTTAAGAGGTTTATTGCAATTGAAGATGTAGAGCATCTGTAGAATTGGTGGATATTAGTTTCTTCGCATAACCTCTTTAACAGACTAGTAGAAACGTTAGTCTACGGTTGACTTCAGTTTTCAATTATCAAATGCCACATAATTTAGAAGTGAAGAATATACAATATTGAAATTTTTATCTGTGCAATGTAGTTTACCTGGTACACAATTATTAAAAAAATATACAAACAAAAATATTTGTGCTTTCAACCCTCCTACAGACTAAGAATGAATTTTTTTTCTAAAATGATAAACTACCAAACTGATCATTTGTCTTTACTTTACGATCAACTCCAAACGAAGAACTGGAATGAACATATGAAAGCTTGATTAAACATTTAACATCCTTTGGTATAAGACATTCTATTATGTGGCCTCACATGTGTCTGTATGTATTCCCACCTCTTTTCTGCTGTAGGTTTCTGTGGAACAAGAGGGAGCACTAATGTCGAGGTATGCAGGAGCTTGGCCCTTTTAGCCCTTTCCTGTAGAGACACTCCTCAACATGGCAAATATTTTCAAACAAACAAGTATATTCATTACAAAAAAAAAGACTAAGGTAGTTTCATTTATCATGTAAAAATATGTGCACACAGGCAATTCAGATGAAAATGGATTTCTGCTTGAACTATCTAGCTAATTGCCTCAATTCTTTGCCTTGAGCATATAAACATTACTTATGGTAGGAAGAGCTGACCCTTATAAATCATTCAATCAATACTGATTAATTCTTCTCCCTCAACTCTAGGCTTCTTTTAAACTAAGATTAGGTTTATGCTCATTCATAAAAAGCGAAGATTTAGACACACAGGCACCATCTGTAACATTGCTCTGGAGGTATACAATGGGGAAAATGCATTTGAATGTTGTGTTAGGTAGAAAAAAAATTCATGTAAAATATTCTGAAGATATATTTCCTAAGGGGATTTGCTTTATCCAATACCAGAAGAAAAAATTTCAAATCAATTTCTAAGGGAAAGCTAAAAGTTTAAACTGTCACCTAACAGAATTCTAGGGTTTCAGGGAATAATGAATGCTAGGGCCATTCAATGATAACGTCAATATAAAAATCTTCATTTTCCTCATGAGAGAACTGAAGTATGGGGAAGACATGTTTTTATGGTAACACTGTCTTTTCTGCATAATCTAAAATTAAGAGCATGAACACATTCTACATTTTCATCTTAGTCACAATTAATGATAAAAAAGGAAAAAGTTTCCTTATAAAATTAAGAAGCTTTTTTCATTGATCAAAAAAACTATTGCTTTTATAGTAAGTCTTTTTTTTTTTTTTTTTGGTCTGTGGCAAAAATAGCAATTTAATGCTTTTTAAGATATTTGGGGTTTTCAAAGACAAACTTTGCTACTTTTTTTGTGGAAATTATATTTCATTCTGTAAAAACTGCCTTATAGCAAAGAGTTTAAGAAAAGATACAAGGAAGAGCAATGTGAGATGCTTTCATTTTAGAGTAGCTCTGTTTCAGTGCTTCCTACAGAAACAACACAAGAAGAAATAAAAAATATTTTTTCCCTCATAAGACATATATCACTCCTGAAATTTTTACAAAATCAACTGAGGGAAATTAGGGGTTTCAAAGCTAGTCACCTTATAAGTTGTTAGGAAAAAATTTGCATTTAAATTGCTCTGTGCAGCTACCTTGGGATTTTTCCCTGGAATGTTTATGGCTCTTTTTTTCGTTAATACTTAAAAAATACAATTTCATAACCAGTGTATTACTACATCTAGTTGTGTTACGAACAGGCACTTCATTTCATAAAATAGAAACATTCAAAGTGGTTTTTCGTCAACCAATCATTCAGTCAGAATACTTGAATTCTTCATATTGAATACTTAATAGTGAAGTATTAATCTGAAACCATATCAACTCTCCATTTCTATTACAGAAACTAGGTCATTAGTAGCTCTAATGCAGGGAACAACTTCTGTTCCTATGTGTTTTATCCATAGGAGCAAAGATTGTCCAGAACTTCTTGACTTCTTGGAACTTTTCCCCCCAAATATTTTATT